TCTTAAGCATAGAAATATTGAGTACCTCATCAGTTATCATGTGCATATGCTAATATCTTGTCCAGCAAAGGAAACTACCACTAACAGAAGGCGCCAGATCAGGAGCTAATAAACTAATCCAAAGATCCAAGCACAGTCTGCAGTACAACATGGCTTTCAGGCATCACAAACGACTAAGATCTTACCAAAGATAGGACAGTAGTACACTACGCACGCACACAGACGTAGCTTCAGGGTTCTACCAAAAGGAATATAACCGGTAATCAGCATTGGAACTATAGGTCACAATTTCGTGTAGGCAAGTGGCAAGTCCATCCTGATCTCTGGAAGTGCGAGTCTGGCATGTTTGTCTGCTCTGTTCAACACTCTAGAGCATACTGTATGTGCATGGTATAGGAAGGAAATTTTGGATAAAGCGAAATTATGTACTCCCTCCGATTCATATTAATTGTCGCAGCTTTGGTACAACGTTTTACTAAAGTTCCAGCAATTAATATGGATGAGAGGGAGTATCAAACTACAGGATGCATTGTCGGATTTATGTTTCCAGTTCTCTCTCTACTCAAGGAAATGAAAATTCTCCCTGTAAAAAAACAAGGAAATGAAAAACCATCAGTTGACAAGACGACATGAGTAACAAACAACAAACATACCCTTTTATCGGTTACATGATATATGCTGAGCGGCTTGAATGCTTACCGAGACGCTCATTCTCAGAACAAGCACACTACACATGTATCAGGGTATGTCGACTCTGAATATAATTATACGACACAACTTTAACTCAAGAGCAACCAAGCGGTACGTGTTGTGCATGCTGAAACATGCCCATAACAAGTCATCCAGTAATTAGTTCACACGTCTCCAATCAATTTTGACTTTTAGCTTGCCTTCACATGTTGCTAGCCGCCTGCATTCATCTTCTAGCTTCTTGCTGCAAAATCTGATTTCCAGTTCCTCCAGCGAATGTGGGAGGCCTGCTTCCGGCAGCCTTGAGATCTCCTTACAGAAGTGTATCTCCAAACTCTTGAGGGATGAGAGGTTGCGCAGCCTCGAGGGAAGATCTACGAGCTCTTTACACCAAAAAAAGGTGAGCCTTTCCAGGGACTTGAGGAGCACAAGTGCTCGCTCTTGCTCATCTGTTAGTCTCGTCAATTTCTCCAAACTATAAAGTTGTAGGCGCTTCAGGGAGGTGAGGTGCTTGCAGAATGACGTGGTAAGGACAGATGGGCCATTCATCTCAAGCATTTCCAGCCGAGGGCACAGCCTTGAAAGGCTCTCCGAAAATGGTGGCAAGCCAATGCAGTCTGATACATCCAAATGCCTGTGGCTGCCAAGGGGTTGCAAGCCCTCTAGTGCAGTGACTGTGAGCGATCCACAGCTCCAAATGCTCAATTCTTCGCGTGCAGTGCATGAGTGCAGCTGTAGAGATTGCAAGTCTGGGCTTCTATATACCCTTAACCTTTTAAGGCTGGTGATATCGCTAGGAAAGCAGGGTTGCAGTGCTTCTTGGGAATAATCACTGATTGTAAGTTTCTGAAGTGATGCCGGGAGGAGCCATCTTCCGTTTGTATGCACCAATGACGAGAGCAGGTCGGGGCGGTCCAGAATGAGTAGCTTCTCAAGGGAGGTAAATCCCGAGACGCCTTCCTTGCCCCAGTCAAATGTTAGACGAGGGCACCTCTCAATAGTTATCTTCTTTAGAGGGGAGAAGAGATTCAATGGAATGTGCGAGGGTCCGTCTCGAGCTAACCCACCATTTGGATTTCCTGATGATGTGCCTTCTCTGGTTGAGCTAAGATTTGACACACTGTTTTCTTCGTCTCCGGAGTATAAATACAATTTCTCTAGACATGGTGCATGTTGCAGCATCAGAGATAGCCACTTCCCTGCTATTCCACATGACACAATACGGAGACTTTTAAGAGAGGGGAATCCGCTGCAATTTGCAGTTGGCATGTCTTCATGGGCATGCTCCGGCATCTCATTTGAGGACAAAAGTTTTTCACAGCCTCTTATTTCCAAGCTCGTTAAAGAGACTAGATAACTGAAACCTTTGAACGAAATATAACTTAGATTCCTGCAACCACATATCACCATCGATTTGAGATTTCTCAGATTATGGAACATCAGAATTTTGTCATCCAGCATCCTCAACTCATTGGAAGATTCATCAAAATCGTCGCCTCTATCCTCATGAAAATACCCAATGGATAACTTTGTACTAGATGATCCCTTCATATACGGAAGTCTGGAAACCCCACTTATGAGTAACTAAGAACACGTGATTGAGCGTGGAAGAGGCTTCAACACTTTCAAATGGGGGCAATCCTGCAGAATTAATTTCCTAATACCAGACAACCATGACCTTTGCTCGGATTCGGATTTATCATTGTTCTCAAACAGGTCAAACTCCTTCAGTGCTTGACAATCCTTGATCTGCAGTGATCTTAGGGTAGAGCTCATACCTTCCACTGAAGTGCATGAACATTTCTCCAACTTTGGCATTTCAACTAAAGCTAACTCCTACAGTGAAGGGACCAGTATTTCTATTACTTCCGGCAGGTTTACCAACCTCAGCTTTGACAAAAACTGGAACCTTTCCAAAGATGGAAGTATTTTCCATTCTCTACAACCGTATATCTGAACCGTCTGGAAGAAGGGAACTGAATGTTGTCAAACCCAATTGACCAAGTAGAATTATACCCAGATATCTGAAGAACCGTTAAGTCCCAATGTGGTTCGAAATCCTCAAACTCCATGACTATGTCCGCGGACAAGTGCAACTTTTCTGAGAGTTCATTGTTTACCACTCCTGCCTCATAAACCTCTTCTAGAGTATTAACATGCACACAATGCTCATCCGTGGATTGAAGTTGTGTTTTCTCAAAGCCACTTGAAATTTGAAACTTAAAACCATGTAGCTCGTGAAATGGTGTCATGTTATCAATGGTTGCAATGGAAGAGTACAATCCCTTGCGTACAACAAGATGCCGCAGGCTAACAAGATTATTCATTCTACCAGGTATACTTGGTTCAGTGTAGCTGACTTCTAATACTTGAAGATGGTACAACTTGCTCAAAAGCCGAGGTAAAGCCTCATCCATCACATCAGACATTTGTAGCACGCGTAGACTATGTGCCTTTTGGAATATATCTTGGAATAATTGTAAGAAGAAAGAGTCACAGTGCCCAAGTAACACCAATGTCCTCAATCTGCCAACTGATGTAATTGCATTTCTCAGAATTTCTTCAAACTTCTCATCACGAGGAATGTTCCCATGCTGATCTTTGTTATATGCAGAACCAGTTACTATTGACAAATGTCGTATGGTTTGAGGCATTTTGTTGCACTGCAGACCATCTATACTTGCACAGTCGGTCCTTGAAACTATCACCACAAAATCATGCATGAGACCGCATATGGCATAAAGAACTTGACTGCCTAGATAGGGTTCTTCTCTTTTAACTTCTTCAAAGAAGCCCAGGTTAACCAAATCAATCAGATAGCACCTCCCTATATCCTCCAATCTCTGGCTAGAGTTGCTACACTTTACAAATCCCTGTGAAATCCAAAAACCAACCAACTCCTCACCAAGAAACTGATAACTGTCGGGGAATATGGAGCAATACGAGAAACATTGCTGTAAATGGTAGGGAAGTTGATCATAGCTAAGCTTCAGAGCAGCCATAATTCCTCCACTGAGCTGCATAGATTTCCAGTCTTCATACTTTAGAATGTTTCCCCAGTAATTGGTGTTAAGTTTCTTCCTTAATAGATCTCCTGTAGAGACAGATGCTAGTGGGTTGCCCTTTAACTTCTCAGCTATTTGCCGACCGATGATACTTAGACTTTGATGCTCCTCACAGTTCTCATAACCAAACGCACGTGATTTGAACAATAACCAGAAGTCATCATTTGCCAGAGCACCTAACTTGACCGGTTTGAGGGTACCTAACCTTTGTGCAACAGACATATTTCTAGTTGTGACTAGAATCACATTACCCTTCACATGATTTGGTACCAGAGGAGCCAACATTTTATCCCATTGAATATTACTGTTCATGTCATCCCAGACATCATCTAAAATAATTAAAAGTCTCTTTGAGTTGGCATGACTCTTCAAGATCTCTTGAAGCTTCGCAAAACAGTTTACTTCTTCATGCCTTTCACCAGAAATAGAGTTTAACATCTCCCTTGTTAGCCTCACTTCATCAAAGTTGTGAGACACCCAAACCCATATCCTTTGGTCAAACTGATGTTCCACATCTGGATCATTGTACACAAGTTGAGCAAGAGTTGTTTTCCCAACGCCTGCAATGCCTACAATAGGCAGAACAACTACACCAGCAGATCTTTCTTCTATTATCATCTTTATAATGGAGTTCTTTTCTGCAACTCTTCCATATACTATCGGTGGAACAAGATTTGATGTCCTCAGGTGCTGATCTGAGGTTGTACTCTGATGATGATTTGAATTGGAAGCTAAGTCCGATCCATATAATTTGAGAACTTCGCTCACTCCCCTTTGGATGTCTTGTAACTGACCAGCAATTTTTCGTATCCTACTGGATAATGTAGCCTTGTCCCAAGGGGTGCGTGCATTAGCTGCAATGATTTGTGCAGACTGCGCATCCTCTCTCCTTCTCTTTCTATTAGATTCACCAGTTACATTTGCAGCAGCATCACGGTTGCTGCAGTAAGAAAGGACCGTGAATTGGATATTAGAACCACGGTGGGACTCGTAATTAGAAGAGAATACTGAAAGGGATAGATTCTTTAGCTACCTTGACGGGTTTGGTGGCTGCTCATCTGATCCAGGTTTCTTATTACAAATCTTGTTATGGTTGAGCATACTTGCCGTCCCATTCTTGGCTCCACATTTGATCACTGTGGGACAGTATTTACATCTTGCTTTGATAGGCTGTTCGTTTTCTTCCTCTTTGACATAAAAAAGATCCCATGCTTCGGACCGTCGTTTCTTTCCTTTTCTCCTGGATGAGCTGCCAATTACAATAGGCTCCCCGGCACTGCAGTAAAAAAAATGGTGGTTGCAATGGTCTCTCAAGGAGATGTATATAAACTAGTAGGAGCATTTCTTAAAACTGCTCAAGGTAACACTCAAATCTCGCTTGGTTACCTTAAATGGTTTGGGGGATGCAATCCATGTTTCTTCGTACAAGTCACAGAATGCTCTTTCTCCAAATGTTTTTTCATAGATGAAGTCCCGTTGGTCTTCGTTTCACAATTAAACTCGTTTCTACAGTATATACATATTGCTTTGATAGGCTTTTCGTTAACTTTTTCTGTGATTGTAAAGTGTTCCCATACTGGTGACCGTAATTTGCCAATACTACTATTTGGTGTACGTGTATCAGCATCGCCCCTTGATATCTCATCAACTCGCTCAGCTCCATTCATAGTGTCGGGCTCGTCCCTTGTAACTGTGCCCAAAGAAGCATGGACTAACAATTAAAGCATGGTCATCCTTGGTCATATAAGTAAGAATAAAAGTGCCATTGATAAAGAAAATGTAAGAATAAAAGAAAGCTATAAGATCAAGTTGCTTACCTCCTTCGACCAGATCTTGGAGCCTGCAGTAGTCGAGTTCGTCGACCACATCGTCGGCATCGTAGAGCAGATCCTTGAGAAGAGCCAGAGATTCATCCAGCAACTCGTTCCTGATCCCCCTCTCCTTCACAGCAGAGACCACCATGTTGATTCTCCTGATCCCCGACTTGAGCTTTTCAACGTCATCGGCAAGCCCGACTCGTCGAATCCACGCATCGAGCTTATCGATCAAGAATGTTGCAAGGATGGCCTGCACCAGCCATGCGATCGCGGCCTCCATCAGATCCGCTGGGAGCTGTTCGAGCGATGGTCAATGGAGGAAAGTACAGGGAGAAGGGATGCTGAGAGTTGACAGCAGGCGAGCAGAGAAGAAGCAATATACAATGCGCCAAATGCGGTTGACGCGGAGTTGAGAGCCGGCGAGCAGAGAAGAGCTTTCAGTCGATCGTGGAGCACACAAAGCTCTATTTATTTATTTATTTATTTACTTGTCTGTTTTATATTTTAGAACTGCACACAAAGCTCTGTGGGCTGCGTGAAAAGCTTGAGCAGGCTACTTCTGTTGATTTAGTTTAGCCCAGTGTTTTTCATGAAATGGGCCCAGAGGCCGTGTTCGGGCAGGCCGTGCACCTTACAGCACTGGATTGCCGGACGAACTTCATTCCACTTCTCTAACGCTAAAAAAAACACTTCATTCCCTGTCGTGGGAAACGAGCACCTATGGGGCAGGGCCCTTTCTGGTCCGGCAAGGGAGCGGAGAGCGCACGAAGAGCAGATCGAGGCGAAGCGCGCTGAGGGATTTTACCCAGCTTCGGAGCTCTCCGGAGAGATAAACCTCCTACTGCTGCTTTGTGTTTGTATTCTGTTCTTGCTCGAGAGCGTAGGTGTGTTGTGGTTTCGAATGAGTCGAACCCCTTCTACGTGCGCATGGGCCTCCTTTTTATAGGCTAAAGGGGTCACCGACAGGTGGCAACGTAGAGAGAGGGGTTGGTACAACCGCTATCAACAGTGCCCCCTACCTAACTCTGACGGCAGGGGACAAGGGCATTTAATGCCCGTCCGGTCGCCTAAACAGTGTAGGAAACGACCGTTAGGGGCGCCACCGATCGCCACGATGGCCTCCTCGTCATCTCCATTCGCCACCTCGCTCCGCTTGGCTGCACAGCTACCCGCCACGTGCACCAGGAACGATGCTGCGGCGACACGTCGTCGAATGCGCTGGAGCGTGGGCGCAGAGTGGTGGCTTCGCCGCGGCAAGCGCCTTGCCGCGGTCGCTGTCTTGTCGCACCCGCAAGCTTGCCACTCGCCGGGTCTTGCCGGGACGCGCGGTGCGTCGCGGCAAGTCTCTTGAAAATGCCTTGGTTGGCCTTCCCGGCAAGCTCCTCTTGTCGGGGTCTTATCCTTCCCGGCAAACTCCTCTTGCCGGGGCTCTGTCTTCTCAGTTAAACACTTTGTTCTTGAATGGCAGTAATAGGAATAGCGAAGGATCTTGGCGGACGCCCGGCAAGCCTTGCCGCGGGACGCTGCGACTGCCCGTGCACAAGTTCGGGATACTAAGGTACCCCTACTTTAGTACACCGACAGGAGCCCCCGGGCCTGGGCCATACACGGTGCCGAGCGCTGTTGGGCCAGGCCCAAAACAGGGCACGGGCACACGCGGCCTGGGTCC